AGCCCTACCCTTACCGGAAATTTCTGTTGTGTTATTGAGCTAGTTACTTTACAGAACGACTGTGCTTATTTTTTTATTTATTTTTTGGTTATTTTGTTTCTGTGAATGATATAGCTCATTTTAGGATAACCTCTGCGGAGTAATATTTGTATTTTTTAAAATTCATTTGAAGTTGAAATCTCGAAGTTTTGAAATCGTCATTCGTTTTGTGGGTCTTTCTTGCCAGTTCGAGTAGAGGTCGATTTGTGGGTACTGCTTTAATCTCTCCTGTGCGGAGGATAAATAAAAGTGAAGTGTATTTTTACATAACATTTGTCTGATGGTCTCAAATCTAATAAATGGAGTAATTGTGCTTGCAAGGTAGAGCTCAGCTTTTATGCAAGCCACTGTTTTTTGTACTACCACATTCAATCTTTTTCTTGGTCTCTATTTATTATTTATACTTTCTTCACAGTAACTATCAATTGTTTTTGGTGCAACCAGACTGATTAACTTGTTGCAGTAATTGCAGGTTTGTTGGAGTATGATAAGCAAGCACAAGGATGGGTACAAGTCCGGGAGTTCGACGGAAAAAAATTTCTCTCAGTTGCACGGGGACATTATGTAGAACTAAACTTTACAATACGCAGCAAGTTTCCAGGACTATGTCTATGGGGATTTAATCTTGAAATTCGTGATGGCAGTAATCAGTCAACTAATCTTCTTGGTGAATTCTGTGGAGATTATGTAACTGGAGTAGTGCGATCCAGTGGACGATACATGTGGTTGAAATTTATTCGGAAAGATACCTATAACTTCACTGTATTCTATACTGGAAGATCCATCAGTGAAACAGGTATGAAGTTTCTTTCAATAAATCAATCTCTCTCTCTCTCTCTCTCTCTCTCTCTCTCTACCCCTTTCTCCCTCTCCCTCTTCTCTAGAGGTATGCTGGGCACTTTTGTAACTTTGTTGTCTCTTCGGCTAAAAAATTGCCCTTTATCTCTGTTGAGACCCGGTTTTCGCATTTCCAGAAACTAGACGATGTCCTCATTCTGCCCTGCGAAAATCTTTGCCAGACTTTCAAAGCAAAACGCATTATAAACATTTAAACTGCGTTCAGGTTAAAAAAGTTCCCTATGCCGTGGAAGGTTTACTTTTTGGTCTTAAGTCACCAAATTTCTGCGGTATATGGGTATTTAGGAGCGTATTACACGCCATACAATTAGACGTACAATTCACTCTTTTTCCACCTTAAATTGTACATTGGCTACTGTGTGTGGAAAAGTTTTGTCGGTTTCCGCATAGACTTCTCTTGTCGAGTTGAAGTTTCCAGTTTGATGAAAACGCCTTTTTGCAGACAGTACAATTCGAAGCTTAATTTCGTCTTTGTTATTGCGTCAAATTTTATTATATTTACGCCAAAGGTAGGTATATTATTGTAGTCTATGATTCTCAAATTTTGAAGCTTTTAGTTAAATCTTTATATTAAAAAATAGCTTTCATGTAGGGGTTGGTATATGAAGAACACAAAGTTACGGAAGTACCTGTTTAGCAAGATGTTCCGTCACTGAGAGAAGCAGACTTTTTTTTGATGAAACATCAAATGCTTTGGTGAAGAACAAGACCTAAATTACATCTTTCATCTTCGAAAGTCTTAGGGCATGACAGGAAAAAATATGTATGCAATTCTATTATTTTCCTTAAAAAAGCGTAAAATCGGAATTCGCGAGAACTGCGTATGTTCTTCGAGACCGGATTTTTTCATCCAGCAGTCAAGGAAACAAAATAAAAAGAAGAAAATCAGTAAGCCACAACACACCTTTACTTCGTGTTGGAGTCACTTATTAAATGAAATGCTCCGAATCGCTATATTTTGATTGAGAAGGATGCATATTTTTCCTTTCACAAGGCAAATTGTGAAATTGTGTTGACGTCTTTTCAGTTAAACAGTTCTTTATAACCCTGATGCTATGAAAGGTTTTGTGAATTTTTTTATGTAGCCAGTAGACTTTTAAGGCAAGGCAAGTTCTGCTTCACGTAGAAAAGAAAAAAAAGGTAAATTGGAAATGCAATTCGGCAATCAAAACGATCAACAGAGTCCTATCTGTTATTGACCCTGAGAAAAAGTTAGAAAATCTGCTGGATTTTGTTCTCATCAAGGAGAAAATACTTAAGTTATGCTGAAAAGAGGTATTGGCCCGAAACCATCAAGTCTTACTTTACGAGCCTGGGACATTTCTACAGCTTCCTTTTGTCTGAGAAGCCAGACGAAATTCAAGTCAGTAGTGAGTTGGTGACCCAGGTGAAGGAAAGAGTGAGACGATGGTCATCTTCTCACAAACGATCAAGCCTACAAAGGAAATGGGAAAGGCAGGAGGAGGAAAGGCATGAGCTAATCACCCCAGATAAATTTGTAGAATTCGAAAATAGCAAGGCGTCAAGGGATGCTGTCATCCTGCTTGGAAAGCTAAGTGGTACACACAATGTAGTAAATACATAAAGCCAGTATACCCTTTTGCGTGATTTCCTCCTAGTTCAAATATAAATAGATAATGCCAACCGTGTAGGTATCTTAGCAAACATGACAGTGAAAGAGTTCGGAAGAGCCTCAAAAGAAGATGACAGGTATGTTGTCAATGTCAGGGAACATAAAACATTTCACAATTATGGTCATACTCAAGTAGTTCTCACAAGTAATTTACACAATTGGATAAATGTCTTCATTCAAGAGGTAAGAAGCCAGGTGCCAGGCATCGGAGTGGATGAAAACCAGCCCGTATTTCCGTCTTTCAATGGAACAAAAATGCAGGAAAGGTGCCGTGACTTGATGGCCCATAAAGAAGATACTACTGTCAAGTACTACCGTTTATCAGAAGAGGCACAGGCATCGGTTAATGCATCGCAGACACTCCACACAATGATGAGCAAAAAGTAATAGTGAAGCGTCTAAGGAAAATCCCAGGAAAGTTGAAGAAGCCTTGGAGAAAATTGGTAAAGAACAGGTCGATGAAGTTCAAGAAATTCGCAAGCTCTTTGGAGAAGAAATACAGAAAAATTAAGTCACTATAGAATGTGTGAGAGGGAGAATCATGGAATGTGAAATCCTCCAAGGCATAGATACGAGAAGAATTTATGACAGAGTGCGTCTAGAGTGGAGGAACCCTGTCGCTACTCCTGCAACTTTACCAACTGAGAAGGAGGAGCTAGGTGATTGAGTAAATCGCTTATTCAGAGAGGACATGCCTTCATTCAGTGACATTGTGCCTCCAACATCATTAAGCAGTACCACAAGAGCCTTGTTCAGCGCAGAGCAAGTTCAAACACTACTGCGTCTATGTGAGAATATGATTAAAGCAAATGCTCCAATTTCGAAACGCGTAATCACTAAGAGACTTTCCAACGACGTTTATGGGAAGCAAAACTTAGCTCAAATCAAATTTTAAATCGTATTAAATACGAGCGGCGGCAAAAGAGGAACAAGTAGGAACAATACTGTTTATACTTTTTTAATACCATAAATTGTGTTGACCATAGGGCTTTCTTTGAAAGACAGATCTTTACAAAATTGGCTTCTATGTTTAGAAACCATAGCAAGATATACACAAGTATTTAATGCTAATATCCCAGCAAAAAGGTGGGAAATTTGTATGGACCATGCATGCAGATGTCAGAGTCAATTTTTTAATTTTTGGGTATGAAGAAACATCGCTCTAGCCTGGAAAATTAATAATTGACGTATCATCATGTTAATGTAACATGAACTTGTCCTTACGAACCTCACACGCTGGGATGTTAATGTTAGATTATTGTGTACATACTGGTATATCTCTTATGGCTTCTGTACAAATAGAAGCCAATTTTGTGAAGTCCTGTAGTATTGAAACATATCCGTGATGAGGTTTGTAGTATCAAACGAACAACTTGTGCTGTTTAAAAGTTTTGTGTTGCTCACTGTTTACTCATTCCTTCAGTTACATAAAAAAATGAGAGACGCGTTGCTAAAGTTGAAATTATCGTAAACCTCAAACGGTAAACGTATAACCTCAGACTGCGGTTCGCGGTTTCCCTTATCGTGCAATATATGGTCGAGACGATAAGTTCATTTTCAAGGGAATGTGCAGTAACGATTCAAGTTAATAATGCAATGTATTGACATTGCTGTTGATCTGCTTGAAATTGAAATGTACTCACACTATTTAAGACAAAAAGTTATGTAGTTAAATATTGGGTTATCAGAGAGCTGTTGTGTTCAAGTAGAATTGCAGTAGCCAGTACAAACGTGAGGCTGCTGTTTGTCCTGATATTCTACCCAGCTTTAAGAGCAGCAATTACTTGGGTTTAATCTTCAATGTATTGTTGTTGTTAAATTGGATAGGATAAGACTTTATTTGATTTGATTTTCTTTTGTTTAATAATTGCATACCGAAGGTTTCAATCAATTCTGTATCAAAAATAGGATAGCATTTTTACATGTCAACAGCGGGTCAAGTTTTAAAATTCAGTATGCCATTGATAAACAGAAACAAATTATCTTGATTACAGCCTCAGTTAAACCACCTGGTATGCATACTTAATACTCATATTCTCAGTAATGGACAGTAGTAAGAAGCTTAAAACGGAGCCTTACATGGGAAAAACTTTTCAAATTCAATTTAAACTTAGTTTTTTAGTCCCCCACCCACACCCCACCCACAAACCCCAACCCCCCCACCCCCACCCACACCCACACCCCCACCCACACCCCACCCCCACCCACACCCCACTTAAATAAAAAATCCGAGACACAAACAGACAGACGGAGACAGATGAAGGCGAAGGATACAAATAGAATTCCTATGTTTCTTTAGCCTGAACATTGAATTGTATCAGGATTAGAATGATATTTTTTGATGTGCATGTAGAATGGGTTATCCTCCCATCAACTGTGTCTAAGGTTTCGTTGTTCTGTATACCTGCACCAAAATAATTCCAACAATTACTTTCTTTTTTCTTTGAAATCTAATGTAGTCAATCCTACGATGGATCAAGCCCCAAAGACGCAGTATGTATTTTTGAACAGAACCTCCAAACTGTGGTGCCCGGTGAAAGGTGCGCCGGCTCCCTACATCGTATGGAGAAAAGATGGTGTCACTGTTCAAAACAGTACCAGCATAACATTTCAGCTTAAAGTAACTTCAGAAAGCAACATGAATTACACCTGCGAGGTAAGAAGAGATGGAGAAGTATTAAGAAGGGACATCAGCCTCAGAATTGAAGGTGAGGTATTATTGTTTTGTTGAAGCATATCAGTACCTTGCATAATTGGATTGTCTAAACCTGTGCTTTTTTTATTTGCTCAAAACTCAAACCACCCCTCTGCCCCCCCCTCCCCCCCAAAAAACGGTTAGATTTTATTTAACCCTTAAAAAGTAGTCTTTCTATATTCTTTTAATCTAATTTGTTATGCTGTTCCTAGGTTTGAATTTTAATTATTGATATGATAGTTATCTGGTGGAGGAGACAGCGTAAATAATTAGAACCAAAGAAAATTCTCACATTTACGCTAACACTTATTTCTATTTCAATTGAAGTTACTAGGCCACAGTTTCTCGATTCTGGCGCCTGCATAGGGCGTACCTGAAGTTTGTCTTTCCGATCCAGTTTTCATCTTCGATTTATGATCAGTTTTTAAACCATCCTCGTTTATTTTTATGGGTAATTTTTATATCGTAACTCTGAAGTGTTAGACTAATTTTGCTATCTGTGATTTTACCCTTATGTTCTATCCAATTAGAATATTCTTCGCTGCTAATACAACTGACCCAACTCTTTCAAATTTGAAGCCTTTGATGATGAATTTTAACTGCCAATCATCTTTACAATTTTTTTTAACCACATTTCAGAGTGCCCAAACCTGTGCGAATGTAACGTCCTCCTCCAAACTTTCATTAGTGTGAATTGTAGTGGAAAAAACCTTAATTCATTTCCATGGAAATTTCCACCAGCCATGTCAAAGTTGTGAGTACCATTAAACAGTTGCAAATACCAAGAAAAAAATTGATCTAGAGGACTTCTCCCCCACAAAAAGCCCTATTTTCATAGTAATCCTTCTCATGCTATCATAGATCTACTTCACCCCTTAAGGCCTTATTCTCAAATTAATTCCTCTTATGCTATTGAAGAATTCAAAGCAATAAGGATAACCTCAAGATAATATATGATAGACTATGACGGATAGTCGAGTCGTGGGAGTTTTTACTGTGCCCCACACAGGATTGGCCATATCTTCCTAGGATCTACAAGAAAGGGTGTGATCTTAGAATAAATTTAAGGGAGATTGGCTCAAGAATAAGGCTTAAAAGTGGGATTTACTCAATTGATCCTCTCTTAAAACTAGTAATGAGAATGTCCTAAACCGTGCGAATCTTACTCACGGTGTCTGGTATATCAACAGAATGGAAAATGAGGGATTTGCTTTATTTCGGTTACCAAAGAATGCAATAAGTTTTCAAGCCACGCTGACGAGGAATATAAACCGTACTTAAGTTATAACTCTCAATTTGAAACAAAGAATGCAGCACACAAAGCTGAAAACGTTTTATATTACGTCACTGAAATAAAAGTGAAAAACATGAACTTTTCAGTCTAGTTTATTTTGTCTGCCGACGTTGCGACGAACTTAGTTTACACTGCTTTTTCACCTTTACTAGTGCAATAATTGACCAGAAATCAATGAAACTATTTTGAAGTCTGAAATATACACGATATTATTTCTATGAAGACTACGGATAAGGATTAAATTCGTCGATCAGCGAAATTTGAACTATAAAATAATTACTTCATACCAAAAGAAGTAAAAAACGCCAATTATTAGAAGCACTACATGAGGCAATTGCTAATGCTGCTCTTAACATTGCAAAGGTCAGTGTCTCACTGGTGTGGATTTTTGACTCCAAACTGACAGGTCCGAGTTTAAGACTTGGCAGATCGTTGTGTCGTGTTTTGGGGCAAGACATTTAACTCTATAGCCAGGGGTCAAAAATAGATACAGCAAAACTACAAAACTACGGAAACTATTGATGAAGTTTCCGGCGATGTGCCATCGTTCCATCCAAGAGGTGTATCTTTACTTTTAGAAACCCTAATCTTCAGAAAGTGGCACAAGATCTGGCGGTGATGGGTCAATAGGCTGGCGTGGGTAACCTATGGTTTAAGATACGGTCAGACGACGCTTGCTCGTCAACATAACCATGTTCTGTTCAGCGTTAATCTTCCTTTAACTTCCAAGTGCAGTAAAAGTCAGTAAAGTTCTTTACATTACGGTTCCATGGAAGTATTGGCTCAATGACTTATTAGTTATTTACGAGTTGCTTTCTTTACACATTTCCTTATAGTTTTGACAGTGAAGAGATTAAACACTCAGATGTCATTCCTATCGTAACGATCGTATTCAGCATGTACTTTACACGTTTCTAACATAATCTTGATAGGTATTTAAGCAACAACAAGCTGAGAGACTTGCCCCAAGAAATCTTCAGTAATCATACCCAGCTGGAATGGCTGTAAGCCCAGACTCATTTTTATCGATCTGAAAGTGAACAACAAAATCCGTATTAAACACGTTCGCAATGATTCTTGATAGGAATGTGAGTGGTAGTGAAAAAAAAAATCCTCTCCGAGTAATCTACGGTTACAATACCAAGCCTTTCTAGCTCCCAAAAATCATGACTAGCTCCCTCCAACCTTTAGATGAAAGCCTTAAATGTACCTGAATTCATTATTTTACTCACTATGTCGGTGACCCTGGCTGACGTGTGATCCTGTAGTCTGATCATCTGGGTGAGGGTAGTCTTGAGAAGGACTGTTGCCGACTGACAACAATTCTTCAATCGACCTTTAAGATGACCTCCACCGGACTTATCGAAACGTTAGAAATTGGTTCCGAATACAATCCTTCGTAGGACCACTCTCACCCGTGCAATGAAACCACATGATAAAATCTTTTTCATTCGGGGTGGAGCGAAATTACAAAGGGCGAAACTTCCAGTTACCTCGACTCCATCCCTGGTGATGCTTTGGTGTCACTGATCTCAGGAGAGGTAACACATTTCTGGGATTAGCTTTCTCACAAGAAAATGAAAAACTTCCCCCCCCCCTCCTTCCCTGATATTTACTCAATACCCTCCCTCCTTTAGGCTCTTAGTTTATACAGAGCTCCCCAATCTAAATGATTAAGGCACATTCTCCAAAAGTAAAAATCCTTGGGGAGAAAATGGGACATGCTCACTTGCAGTTCTGGTTAAGCACAAAATAGGTTAAATTCATAGCTGATAGAGAATAAAGGATTCTAAAGGTTTGTTTGAGCCCCCACATCAAAGCATGAAAGAGAATATAGCACTACCGGATATACCCTTCAATGTAACATAATTATCGAATACGTCATGATGAACACCACCCTCTATCACTTCTTGGCAGGGAAATAATGAACAACCCGTTGAAGGAATTACCATCAGGCATATTCAACAATAATACCAAGCTGTCCACCCTGTAAGTTAGAACTCTCTCTTCTTTAATAGAGAATACCTAAAATCCATCTTGCACTGGACAAGATACCAGCAGATCAGAGCACGCTGACTTTTTTACAGTAAACGTTCATAATTTTGATCAGACAGAGGCACCGAAAATGAAAAGTCAAAACAGACATGAAATGAACCAATCAAAGTGTTTACAAGAAAACATTTTCTGTAGAGTGAAGAACCAGGGTTGTTTTCAGTGACATGACTCAGCTGTGGCAAACAAGGAGTGAATTTCTTTCTTAGCGCAAATGAAAAACATTTTTGAGCATAGAAATTTACCGAACTTTGTTCACGTAAACAATGTTGTTTATAACACTTTGAATTTATTTTGGTAGGTTTTTGGGAAATAACCAGTTGGAGAGATTGCCATCGGATATTTTTAATAACAACATTCAGCTGTATGACTTGTAAGTTTGGAGCCTGCCTTATTTAATTAAAGAACGGGTCTCACCTTAGCGAGAATATCATCAGAACTGAGCAGCTATTTTACAGCAATTTCAAATTCCTAATTTTCTTGAAAAGCCACCATCTCAATCTCCACACTCCTAAATTTCGAACTTAAAAAGTTTTCCGTGATAAGTATCTTCGGACAAAAAGTGGCCAGTCTGGTTGAAAAGACAACATATTGAAACAAAGAAAAACTTTTATAAAATGTCATCCAGTGAATCGACATTGCAAAGCATCGATCTCTAGACTTTGTGCAATCGAAACAGGAATAGGTACTCGTTAACCTGCCCATTCATACATCTTTGTGGTATAAAACTCAAATACTCGCTCATGACATGTATGGTGCTTAACTTGCAATTGTCAATAGGTCATTCTTTTCGCAAATATTCTATATGGCCTTAGGGGAAAAGACGAAAACTTAGATGTAAGTTATCTTAGAGTGCGGACAAAGATTATCATTAGTTGGTCAAAGTCAATAACTTTCGACAAAAGAACTTAGAAAACTTATAAGAATTGATGACAAGAACCGCTGTTACATGTATCACCACCCGGCGGTCCTAGGCCTGTCACAAAATGTCGAAACTAAGAAAAAGCTATTCAGGAAAGCACGAACAATATATTAGTAATTCATGACGACATTGATATCCTTTTAGCTGATTAGGGGGATTCATGGTTAATGGATGAATATGTTAAAAGATATCCGCGAAAGATGAGCGAAATTTGTTCATAGAGTTGACAGATTCGCCCGAAAATATAAATTCATTGCTGTTTCAGTGGCCTTGGTTCTTACAAAAACATTTCTAGCCACTTGAAAGTACTTACTTGACCCATTTGTTGAACTTGAAAAACAACCATTTGGAGGACTTGCCGAATGGCATATTCATTAACAATATCAACCTAATAGAGGTGTAAGAAAAAAGTTAACAGAAAATTCTCCCTAACTTTTATCCTCATGTTATCTTAAAAGGAAATCAGGAAGGGATAACCAGGGAACGTCTGGGATACTTGTATCAGTTAAAGCATTGCAATAACTAGACTTGGTCGACAAAGTGAAAAAATTTTCAACTGTCTGTTATTTCAGTCTTAAAAGACCATAGCATCTTAAAAGGAAATCAAGAAGGGATAACCAGGGGATATATCAATTGTTTGATATATCGGCCTTAAAAGATCTGGAATCCACCGATACAAAAAGGCGAAGCTTCTGATTCATCTTCTATGAAAGAGAGACTTTGTTACTAATTATGCGGTGATTATCTACCTTAATGAAATCGGACTTATAATAGGATATATTAATCCATTCAAGCACTTCTCAAGCATTTGTCGTGCATCGAGGTGGAAAAAGTGGGGATGGGAAGGGCGGGAAGATGGTGAGAAGTAGGGTGACCTCTAGAGGCTTATATTTGCCTCTCTAAGGGAAGGAAGTTTCTTCTCGTTGCGCATGATTTTAAATCTGCTGTGAAATGTGCGTTTGTTTGTCAAAGAAAATAAACAATAGACCATAAGTAAAGCATCACAAAAAAAGACAACTGGTCAGGTCGAATTTAACGAATGCAAGTCACTAAATTATTCTAACATTTAAGTTGAACGTCGTTGCGAAGTGATGTTATTTCACTTTATTACTTTTACAACGAAACGTGTAAAGCACGTATTTGTTCTCTGGGCTTAACAAAGATAAAAAAACCAACAAGTTTCAATTAGTTTTGAGCCATATTATAATTCGTAATGCTACCTTAGGTTTCTATATTTAAAAAACGGAAGAGAAGACATCGGTTCTTAAAGAATATGGTTTTGTCAGGAGATTAGAACATTAAAAAAAAGAAATTTCTTGCATAAACAGTTCCTGCACCTAACTTTCATAAGCAGAGCGCGTAGTTTGTCTTCTGGCTTTTTATGGACCTGTTTCATACTTCCCTAATATTAAACAAAAATATATGTAAAGTAACAAGTAAGGACTATTCTTCTTAGTTTTAATCCACTGACATTTTAAGAGGACGACAATAGGACATAAACAGATAAATTCAGGGACAATTAGTGGCATTTAAGGCATTATAATAATTAGACTTTGTCGCTAAAGTCACAGATTTGTATTATTGCTCGATACATTAGACTTCATAGACCCGTCAGCCCCCACTATAAAAAGCTGGGTTCGGGATCCATCTTACACGCAGGGAGGATGTAGTTTTTAATTACTTGATGATTATTTACCCCAATAAAATCAAATTAATAGTCAATAGTTTATATAGTAATCCATTCGAGCACTTCTCAGCTTCATTCCCTTTAGAGAGTTGAGTTGGGAAAAGGGGGAAGTAGGGGAATAGCCATTAGAGGCCTATTTTTACCACCCAAAGGGAAGTGCGTCTCGTTGTGTCGTTCAATCGTCATTGATTTCGCTGGATGAAAAGAAAACTCAGGCACGATATCATTTATTCGAGTCTCTCATTAAGGCTCTCTAAGAGTCCTATTCACTGTGCATTCATTTTGGTCCAGAGGATGTGATCATCACTTTTGAATGCGGGTTGCAAGTTTCAATTCTACTATAAAACGAGGTAAACTTTATTTATGCTGGAATACAGATTGTGCGAAGTTGTCGAGAGATGTACCCATTAGTCGTATCTTCTTCATTTTCAATACATCTGCTTGTAATCGAGTGTAGATACCCGTCGCAAGTTTCAATTTTTCGATTAAAGAAAATCCGAATAGGATTTTTAAGATATACTATAACCGAAAAACATTCCATATAGAATATGAACCTCGACTTGCATAAAATTATGCATGTTTTGTTGTTTCCCCTCCCAAATTGTAGGAGGGTCTTGCAATGGTAGGATTGTGGTGCAAGATATCGTGACATTGTAGAACCATGTGTTTTTGGGCTAGTAGGCCATCAAACCTGTCAAACATGGAATCTACCCTCGATTTACACTCGAAGCTGGACATCTATCGAGTAGTGTCTCCCATCACATACATCGCGTCATAAGCCCTCGATATACATACACTCTGGTTTAACCTTTACCTCCAAGGAAGAGAAAGTTAGGATCGATACAGTCTTAGAAATGTGGAATAATTACTGCTTGGCAAGACGAACACAATTTTCGAGCTCTAAACAAATTTCAGTCTTAGTAGAGCGAGACCGACATGAAAGAATGTGAGTGGATCTGGACTCATGACCAAAGAGATGCCTTTAAAGAGATCAAAGACGCTGTTAAAAAAAGCAGCAGAACTCAAGTACTTCAGAAAGGGTGACCCAACAGAGGGCCAAGGAGATGCGTCCAAGAATAGACTTGACTTTTTACTAATACAGCAAGGTGAACCAGTGACACTTCCGTTGGCAGAGAGGAAGTACTTTAAGATAGTGAAGTAATTTTTGTTCCCGGTCTTTGGCACGGAGCACAACCACCAATATGTGTTCGTTAACAAAGTCATCCTGCGGACTGATCAAAAAGCCCTGGTCTTTATTATCCAGAAGCCCTTAGCATCAGCACCCAAGAAGCTAGAGTGCCTTGTTACCACTTCAGCAGTATGACTACGAAATAAGCTACAAGCGTAACAGAGGTGTGCTGCCGGCCGGCTATCCATCGAGAGGTTTCATGAAGGGCTGCGAGCTTACCCTCGCAGAACAAGTGGTCGATCGCATTCATAACGACCACTTCTTTTCCGTTCCAGATCACCAACTTAATGAAACCCAGAGAGAGAGATTTGTGACCCAACTCTACAGAGGCTAAAATTCACATTCATGATACAGAAGATGATCTCCCAGCAGTCATCCATCCGAGCCACTCCAGAGGAGCCTCAAGCACCTCCGTTAGCAGACGCTACAATATGACCCAACAACTAGACAAAGCCACAGCGGCAAAACCAAGAACTGGCCAGTCACTTTCTGTAACACCCAACAAGCCCCAAGTAGTGTAGACCAGACCATTAGATCTGGACAGTTGTCAAAGCCATCAAGTTACTTGCAGGACCATGCATAAGTAAAATCGAATGGCTCTCTGTAGGCCACCGTCCTCATCCATCTACCGCTTGAGAGTTCATAGCCACAGAGTACATAGCACTGACTATAAGGCATGCAAATTTTGCTTCATGAATCCTAATCAGGAGACTAACATACCGGTTTCTTTTATTCAATTATTTTGAAGTCTGAAGCAAATTATCTTAAACGTGATTTTTATCTTAAATAATGACTATACCTGGCATTATAAACCTGAACATAGCACTCTAGTTCGCACCTGCTCAATTTAACACGCTGTTTATAATTTTTGATACAACTATTGAGACGTTTTGTGTCATTATTTTAAGTTTCCCACTCTTGTCCTTTATCGGTAACCATTTACAGAACTGCAAGAGGTCAAGGTTGACAAGGCCACTCGAAATCAATCAAAACTACTTTAAAGGAATGCTAACTCAGCTTTTACATGCGCGTTGTTATTGCTCAAAGGAACGATTACAAAATCATAAAAACAGAGTTAAACATTGTAAGTACGTTCGTGACTAAAACGTAGAGACAATTATTAACTTATCGCTGGCGGTGAAGAGATCCTGTCATCGAGCAGAAAGTACCACACAGGGAGATCCGATCGCTATGGCTTTTTGTGCTTTAAGCATCTAACCTCTGATCACGAGTCTACAGGTGACGTCCACAGCAAAGCAGTACTCATTCGCCGATGATGCAGGTGGGACGGGCTCTACTTCAGAGATGAAGAGATAGTGAGGCATGTTGAGTACCCTAGGTCCAGATTTTGGCTACTTCTCAAACGGCAAGGAGCGCTGGATTATTGCAAAGCCGAACAAGAAAGACAGTGTGAAAGAAATATTTAAGGAAACAGTCATCAACATAGCAGTGAAAGCGAAGATACATTTGGTCGCGGCGATAAGTTCACGGGAGTATCAGGAGGATTACATCTGTACGAAGGTGTCTGATTGGGTGAGTGAGGCAGTTCAATTGTAAAAGTTCGCTCAGACAAGAAGCA